TAACCAAAATAATAAATGTTGGATAACGTTATTAAAACTTTAGTAGCATAGGTGTTTGAAATTTTTTTGGCACCAGTAGAAAAACGTATTGATTTTCTCTTTTAAGTACAAACGATTAGATCCTCCTATGCATCTTCTAAAACATTTTTGACACTGTGACAGTGTGAAAAGCGAGTTATGACATGAAAACTTCCTGCTGGCGCATGCCCACAGGCCCATGACATAACCAATCGATTAACCCCCCCCCGTTCACCCTCGGGTGTTCAGACGTGCATCGTTTTTCTATTCTCTCTCTGCAGAGGTTTGCCCACTGTTCTCAGACAGAACCACCTATGCGGCGGAGGGCAGTAACTCCACGTTTAAAGGGCAAAGACGGACACGAAGCCTTATGACATCAAACGTAAACCTGACAAAGACCCGAACGAGATGAAGTGCTCAGAGTCGTAAACAGATGGTAAGCCCCGGACGCCGCCGAGGCGCCGCTCGCCGCCTCTCGTTCTTTTGGCAGCGGTTCAGCAGTTTTGTTGAGCAGAGGCACAAAGTATGGAAGCTGTCAGGTGCCATATGATGCTGCCTCTGCAGTTTACACACGGAGCCCGACGCGGGAGATTGATGACCAGGTTGCGGGAACATAAAAGGGTTCCAGTAGAGGGAACGCGGAGGTCGACGGAGGACACACACGGATCAGAGCGAGGCCTCGGCTCATCTTCTTCCTCACCCGGTGTGTGTCACGTCACACCCGCAGTTGTTGTCAACTAATTTGTTTTGTCCGTGCTCATCTCAGGAAATTAGAATATAATCAGGCAGTTAATTGTTTTTAGTGCAGAGTGAAGCTTGTGTCTGATATAAATAAGACACATGGATATATTTCAAGTTTTTTTTATTTTAATTAATGTTAATGACAATAACTTAAAGTTAATAAAAAGTCCAGATACACTTTCCTGTAAGCTAAAAATGAATGAGTGGAGTCTGAACTCTTCTGTATTTCTAAGAGGGTTCAAGTGAAACCCGACTGAACTTTGCGCTGTATGTGCGGTTCTGGCTGGGTCGCCGGTTTATGAGCTTCTTTTTGTGGTTTTACGAACTGAAGAGCTGATGGGGCCCCTGATTGGCCAACCGTGACATCTGCTGCGCTCTTGCTGAGCGTCGCGCTGAGACTGCAGGAGGGTTAAACAGTAACATCTAGTCCAAACGTCTCCCAGACGAGTAGAAATTAAGCAAACGTTGGTTCTCCTTCTCCTCCTCTGGAAATCTGACTCACCACCCGAACCTGGGACTCTCCATCCTCCACCTCCTGTGGATCACATGGGTTAGGCTTTGGTTTCCTGTTTTTATTACTTAGCATAATTTGAAAAAAGAAGAAAAAACACCTGAAGGTAATTAGTCCATGGTTTTGCTGAGGTTTTGCTCTGACAGCTGCCTTCTTGACAATCCTCCTCATCTATTTTATGAATTGCCTCCTCCTGCAACTAATCATGACGCTGCCACCCCTGTGCTTCACAGTTGCTACAGTGTTCCCAGGCTTCTCAAATTATAAATGTGATCAATATAACCAAAAATTCAGTTTTGGTTACACATGTCTGGGCATGGAAAAAAAAAGAAGAAGTTTTTTTCATCTCAGAAAATATTGGCAAACTACAATTTGGGTTTTTACGTTCCGTTTGGAGTGATGACTTCTTCCAACACGTGGTTGGAACTGGACTTTTGTCGCTAGTGTAGATCAAGACTCAGTCTTACCAGCAGGGTTAATTTTAAGTTTATTTCTATTGTGTTGCCTGTTTTGTACCAAAATGACGTCTGGGACACAGAACCCTGATCTGTATGTCAGTGGTGTCAAAATTTGTAGAAAAGATTATATGTCTATTTTTCTATACAATATATGTAAATATCTAGCTTTTCCTCAATAGAACATATAACTTTCCTTTTCCCCCCCCCCAATTGAATATGTGGAATAATGCTACTTGACTGTGATAGTCTAATTTATTAAGACATACCTGTTTGCAGCAAAAGGTCAGTAATGTTTCCCCTTCATGAATGACCCAGATTCAAACACTTTATCTGTGCGTGCGTGCGTGCGTGCGTGTGTGTGCGTGTACCAGGTTTTTATATCCTTATGGGAACCCATTTCTGTCTACAATGTGGAGTTATGGGGACCATTCCTCCTTGTGGGGACATTTTCTTGGTCCCCATGAGGGAAATTGTTCTTGGGTTTTAGGGTCTGTGATGGTTAGGTTTAGGGTAAAGGTTAAGGTAAGGTTAGGTATGTGATGGGTAGGGTTAGGGTTAGGATTACGGTAAGGATTAGGCTGTAGAAATTAATGGAAGTCAATGTGAAGTCCCCACAAGTGATGAAAGCACGACTGTGTGTGTGCGTGTGTGTGACAGCGTGCATCCCCTTCCATGGGAGTCGTGCATGCGTGTGTTTTGGGATGAGTGGGTGGGCCGACACCGTGCCACTGCATCGCGGCTCTGGTCTCATCTGGTTTGAAGCTTAAGTCCGAGAACTTTGCAGTTCTCTGCCTGACCTACATCGGCGACGCGGCGTTCTTCTGCAAAACGTCTGTGGTGTTTGCGTGCCTTCCTCAGAGTCTGCCGTGCCAAAACACACAAACACACACACGCGTACACACACAAGCTCAGAGAAGGAAATTCAACAGTTTAGTAGTGATAGTGGTTTCACGGAAATGCTGCTGTCACATTACAGGAAGGATTTGATTTATCTTAAGCTTCTCTCAGCAGGCTGCCTCCTGCTGCTAGGTGGTTAACAGGAAAGCTATAATCTCCCCACACACACACACACACAGATAAACAAAAAGTATGAGCAATGAAATACAGTGACTCAACATGCAACCTTTACAAGGAAAAAAAGAACAACTCTGATCCACACAAAGACAAACTTCTGCACTCACACACATTCACATTGCTTGCTATTTGCAGCGGTAATTAGAGGTGTGACAGCCAGACAGGTGGAGGTGACGATAATGGGCCTCAGCTATTTCTGTTCCCCCGCTCGCTTCGTCTTTACAGCTCTGACATTCACCCCTCTCCCCCTCCACCCCACAGCCGTCTTCTGCCGCTCTCACATTCCCCCCCCTCAACTTTTCTCAGAACCGAGCTCCGGTTGTGAGAAGTTCAACTTGCTCTCGCAGTTCGCATTGTGTTCTTCCTTCACACGTTCTTCTGTTTGTTCCCGCGCTCTCCCGCTCCGCTGTTTTGCTATAATTATCAAAACAGCTTCCTCTATTCCAATAAACAAACATTCATGCAACTTCTTAATATTTACCAAGCTACAAATTGGCAAAAGTCTACAGAGACAGGCACCACCCTAGAAACTTTGTTCAAGAACAGGGACAAGTTAACTTTATTGTCTTACTTTTGATCGGATGTCGACACGTCGGTTTTCAACATGAGGTTGGTGGTGTGACGCGTTGCGAGCCCTTCAAGCTCCAGTGTGCAGTCGGATTTGGAAAAATGATTTTCTATGAATATTTCATGCTAGAATCCCTAACTGGAACCGACTGCTATATGTTATTTGGAAATCAGTGCATTTGGGAAGTTGTCATGTTGCGACTAGGTGATTGGATGAGACTTTCTTACAATACGTAATATGTGTTTTATTTTTATCTCCTTTATTCACCTCCAGCTGCCATTTTTGTCATCCCAGGTGATGATTAATTAGGCTTCACGTTCAAGGACTCATAGATGTGTCAGTGTAGAGCTTTCAAGGTGAGATATTTTCCATCCCAGTGGACAGACTGTAATATATCACAGTCGTTCTTCTCGTAAGGGTTACCTAAACACTCCTCAGCCCATGATACATGCAGCTTTTATCTGATTCAGGTCTCCGTGGATTTGCTCCAGATGACCAGGGCAAGAGGTGCTGTAACACCTGGACGGTTTCCCAGTGTGTCAAAGAGCAAACTCAGAGAAATCCAGGAGCTTCACTCATACTGCTGTTACACAAAAATGAATACAAGCAAATAAAGAATCATAACCTGAAAAAAAAAATGGTGTTCAAAGTCAGGCAACAAAGAGGCAGGATCGGGTGTTTTCTGACCACATAATATCATTTATTACCCCAAGCAAGTAACTATGTTACCTTCAGTTGTTATAAAAATCAATAAAAACTGACCTTGTAATTTAGCACCTGGTAATTGGGTCCCTGTCGCTTTAAGAAAGTCCTCCTCTTTCCAAAACTCTGTCATCACAACATGACTCCTCTACTAACCCTTTGACAATGTTTTTACCACTGAGGAGTGGCTCATATATATATATATATATATATANTGCATGGAAAAGAATAACCCTCCAGCTTTGTGCGCATGCGCAAATTTTCCGGATGTAAACAATAACATGCAAAGGGTCCATAGCCTCCATGTGTTAACTTTAAATGTAACTGCTGCTGCTAAGTACAGATTTATTTTCCTCAAACCTATATCCACAGCTCATGATTTGGTTACTTATATTTTATCTAAGATTTCATAATTAATTAGGCATATTTAAAAGGAAAAATAAAGAGTTAAAGTTAAAAAAAAATGTCTGCTGGAAGTAGCTATCGGAAAACAAGTATATTAGTCAGTAACAATGTCTAGAGAATTAAGTGACCCTAACAAAAAGTAGATGGAATGACAAAACTTACTTAAATTATTCAATACCACATAGGCACCAACTGGACATAGCTGATAGTTGTTTTTGTTTGTTTGAGTAGTGGTTGTAATCCCTGATATTTTCATAAACCGTCTCGCAAAAATAAAAGCCACAATGGAAACAAGGTGTAAAAATGCAATTTTCGGACAATAAAAAACAGATAAATCAACATGTGACATTCAACCTCTTTTATGAGTATTCTTTAAAATATGTAACAATGCAAAGTGGTGAACTACACATTTTCAATTACATGGGTTTCAAAAAACCAAAACACATGATCAAAAGCCAGTTCTTTAAAGACAAATGTTATTAAAATCTGGCCTGCTGCGTTGTTTTTCCTTTCTTGTTCCTGCAGTATGGCATCAAGAAGAAGGAGGAGAAGGAAGCCGAGGCGGCCGCTGCCATGGAGCAGGCCTCAGAGGGCAGCCTTACCCGCCCTAAAAAGGCCGTCCCCACCGGCTGCGGCGATGAGGAGGAAGAGGAGAGCATCGTGGATACTGTCATGAAATTCATCCCAGCCCCTCTGATGGATATGTTCAATAAAAAGTAACAGGGTTTTGCTTGGAAATATGGTTAACTTCTTACAAAATCCTTCTAATTAATGCTGTACCAGCCTCTCCCACTCCAACCTGCCGTCACACTCTTCTTCACACTTGTCCAGTCCCATCAAACCAAATACTAAGTGTCCTGGAATTACGCAGTGTGCCATGATTTTGTCTTTGAGCTGATCTAGCCAATTTCAGACAGTGATTCATACTTTTAATATCATGACAAGAGAATCAGTTATCCTGTTTTAAAAATTACAAAAACACCTACATATTGCTTTATTTAACATCTTTTCAATCCATTTCTCAGAATAAGTCCAAACATTGCCGACAGCCACTTTTTTGTTTGTAAATAGCCTAAATAATATAAAAGAGTACTATATATGAGTGAAATATGATATATAACAAGATTACTAAGAGTATAAGCCATATTTTTAACTTTTAGGGAATTATCCAAATCATATCAAATTTAATTACAATTTTCATTTTCCTTTTACGTTTCTGCTAATTTTTGATACATAGTGTACAGAGATACATGCATTTTTTTTTTTATTGGTTCTTCGTTGTGGCCATTCACCTTTAAATTGATCTTTATGTGAATGTGAAATATGAATTTAAATGTGTAAAAACAAAGTCAAGTAAGTTTGTGAAGTGAAGGAATTTATTTCTATTGAGACAAATTTGTTTATTTTGTATGCATGCATTTAATACCTACAAGGCGACGTGCATATACTGATTTCATTTGTAGTCATGAAAGAGAAGACGTTGGTATTTCAGGCAATAAATTATTTAATTAAAACATTTCATTCGACTTCACTGTACATTAGGAGATACTGACTTGTTCAAAATGTTCTTCCATGGAGAAACATCTTCTCTATATGTAAAACTTGTTTTAAAACAGGAGGGTAAAATTTTATGAATTCAAAAAGTTCACTGGTTAAACTATATTTGATTGTGGCTTCGAAAACTCTGTTTTGTGTTTGCCAGTGTTATTTAGTCTTTTGAATCAAGACGTGTTAAAATTTCACCTGGCTGGTTAATTTGAAGCCGTGTGTAATATCTCTGTGTTTTCTCATTTTATTTTAATGTAAAAAAAAAAGAATAGAAACTTCACAAACACAACTATGTTGTGTACACACTATATGTGAACAGACAGTGACAATAGTGCAATATATTGTTCAAAATGAAGTTGTCCTGTGTCTGTTGGTTTAACAAACGGGAGTGAAGTCCCAAATCAGCAATAACAGACAATCTTCATTGTTTTGTGTTTTAAAGTTACCCCTAAATGTGTTAGTCGATGTTAATGGCACATATGTGTCAACATACTGTAACAGTGAAAGTTTTGTAGGTCAGACACATTTAATTAAAGAGGGAAGGTGGGACAATTTGCTTCATGTCATAAAAGTGTTTTAATCACATGAGCGTTCATCAACTGGAATTCACAGCTGATGAACTGTATTGTGTTAGCTAACACAATGAGAAATGATTCACAAAGCTTCATGGCTGAACAAGGAAAAATATTTAACATTATGACAGATTCTGGTCTGGTGTGCTGGGAAATAGCTGCACAAATTCAAATACCTGTACAAATTCTTCTTTAATGCCTTTGTTTTAAATTTTACTTCATTCCAGAGTGTCTTGTTGAACATTCCAGATATTTCTGACATTCCACCAGATTTATGCTGGTAATCCACCTACTTAATTACAGATAATTGCAGTAGGCCACAGTCAACGCCTTCTTTGCCTTTCAGACTACTACATCACAATGTAAACCTTAAACTATTTGTGCTTTTATAAGTCAGAAATTGAAGATTGACTCCAATCTACAGTTAAACAGATGAGATGTGTGCCAATGCCAACTAAAGGGTAATTTTAGCTGCCGTGTACAGAAAAGTCCAAAATCAAATCTCTGTAATCATCAATGTGCTTTTGAAAACAGTAACTTAGATATTTTGGTAGATTTTTTTACTAAATGTTTTGTGATTCACTTGGGCACAGTAGGTGTAGTTGTAACTGAGGTTTTAAAAACCACACATTTTGCCTCGATGTTGCAGAACTTGTGTATTCCTGTTCCTTCTATAAGGGATTTAGTTTTTGTTTTGTGTTTTGTAAACTGTATACTTATTTGAAATACAGTATAACACACAACACTGGTGTAATGCCACCCACAGAGCACATTTATTTAACGTCTTGCGACTTCACTGCATTTGTAAACTGCCAGCCGCTGTTGCAACATTACGTTAGCAGTCAACCATCTGATAGTTGTTGCCATGTTAGGGAGCAGTTGTTTAATTATACCAAAGAATAGTGATGTTGATAGCAGATTTAGTAAAAGAGCTTTCATTTTTGTTTTAGTAAATTCTCAGGTATAGCTTGATGTTTGATTAGTAGACGTTAACTACAGCTGTTGTTGAATTAGCGTCAATAAAGACATTAGTTTCATTGCTAACAACTTAGCTTGTCAACAGCTACTATTAGTTTTGAATACATTCAGCTAAATAGTTGTTGGGCTACCTAAAATACTGCTAAGCAGTGACATAAAAGATTTTTAAAATGAAGTCATATTTAATATGTTTGTGTTTAAAACTGATGGATTTTGATGGCACAAAAAGTTTCACAGCTAGCTAGAAACTAGGTTTAGCTGGCTAGACAGCTTGTTTAGCGAGCTAGGTTTAGCTAGTTGGTTAAACCTAGGTTTAGCTAAGCTTATCTAAATTATGTTTAGCTAGTTTAGCTAGCTAGGTAGCAGAACCTAGCTTTATTTATAGCAAGCAAGTTGCTCTATTGTAACATTTTATTTTTAAAAGTTTAACTCAAGAAAATATTTTAAAAGCTACAATTCCTGCCTTGAATAAGTTCCCAAGCAACACAACTTAAACTGATGAGTTTATTTGCTAGCAACTTAGCTCTATTGTTCACAACAAAACAAGAAGTTTTGTTGTGAACAATAAACAAGTTTTTATTGTTGGTCTAACGGTATTTTATTAACATAAATTCATGTCTTTAATAAAGTAGTTTCACTTCTGGCATCCTACTTTATTGATGGCCAGCCAGTTAGCACATAGTAACTTTAATTTAATAAAATCCTTAGCCCGGGAATATTTTATAAACTTTATTTACTGCCTTAAATCAAGCAGTTCTGTCGCTTGTAACATTTTGATTGATGGAAAGTAAGTACATAGACAGTTAACTATGATTTTTGAATGTTTTGCCCTGCTAGATAGCTACAAATCCTGCCCTTGTTAAAGCCCTGGCTAATAGTGAGAAACTGCCTGGCCTAAAAAAGAAATTTACAATTATTGCCTAGTTCTTTGTTAGCTAGTTTAGCTAGATGCTACATCAACATCTAATTAAACTAGCAAAGATATTTTGTCATATCTTTTAAAAGTTTAGAAAATATTCTTTTATTTTAGAATATCTTCAATCTCAGATTTGTTAGAAACTTCAATCACTGCCTTAAAATGAACAGTCTGATCGCTAGTTACCTGGTTTTCTTACAGCTAGCAATTTAGGCCACAGTGACATTTAATTTTATCACGTTTGGTTTTAAAATATTTTAGAAAGCTATAATTACTGCCCTTCTGAATGATGCCAAGCAACAACATCTTAGCAAAAATCATGTGTATTCAAAAGTATTTTTCAAATTAACGAAACCCAATCACTGTCTGCATCTAATATTCCACCAAATACAGTCATAAACATTTTTATCATTATCTTATAAATAGAAAATTGATTGCTCTCCTGCAGCCCAAACAAACTGCCCAAGCCCTGGGGGAACTCAATACGTTGCCATATTGTGAATGTTGAGTCAAAAACCCACAACAGTTGAAAGTCACCTATTTATGTCACTCATGCACTCATTAGTAGGTTTTAAAAACTGCCTGGATATGAATAACATGGCTTCTAGAAGAATAATCCTTTGATGTGACTTGAATGTAACTGTCTGACGTTTCTCTCTTCTTGCATCTGTCTTTTCTCTGTTCTGTATGTGCTGAGGAGATGCTATTTCTGGTGCCGTTTTTTCTCCCTGTCCGTTGTCAGTCCTGTTTTCTGTCCTCTGGTGGCTGGTATTCTGAGTAAAAGAAAAAAAAGAAATATGTTTATTTGCTGCATTATTTTGTACTGCAAAAATCTCCTCACCTTTCTCCAGGCCCCTTCCTCTCTGTATTCTCCTTATGTGTTGACAAAAGTGTATGCATGCTTTCGGTGTGCGATGTAGGCAAGGTTGTGGATATAAACGTTTCGTGTCCTCTCTGTGTTTCAAAGCTCCACCTGTTAGCCTCACTGCATGCTGTTTTAGACAAATATTTCAATATGTAACTTTCCTGCAAAAGTGGAATCACCGCACACTGAGAATAAAGTGATTTCATATAATTTTTTATAGTCTTGTGTTTCTGCATTCAAACTGTTAAACAGCACACTGCAAAAACACAAAATCTTACCACATAATTTTGGTCTACAAATATTTTATTGCACTTGAAATAAGAGAAAACTAACTTAGAACCAATTTTTCAGCAAGATATGAGAGGTTGTTTTAGGTGAATAATTTCTTAATATTGATGAAAATGCAGACATTTTCCCTATAGTTTTCCAATGGAACAAGTACTGTTTCAGTATAAAGGAGTTATTAACTTTAAACAAGCTCATATTTCTTGAGGAAAAGTACCTTTTCTCTTACTTCAACCAGACCAAAATTTCTCAGTCAGATGTTGTGTTTTTGCAGTGTATGTGTTTGGTTTTGGAGCCACTGGTATTTCTGCTTTCTGGTAAAAATCACTCTATATTTCTGAGACTAGCACTTAGCCTTACAGCTGGGGACCATCCCATTGCATGACGATCAGTACAACCTTTAGTGTAAACCACATGTAAATGTGTCTGTCAGTAAATCCTGTTTTTCATTCTCGGCATGGCTTTATTTTTTTCTTTTAACTGGGATTTTAACATCAATAAAAGTGAAAAGGGCTGTAAACAGAATGCAGTGTGTCGTTCAAATCATGACTGAAGAGAGACTTGACTTGTGATTGTGTCACGGTGACTACACAAACATCAAACAGACAAAATTAGCATCTCTGCCGTATAAGCTTTTTGTTCTATGTGGGTCTTTGATATGAGAATATCCAAAA